TTCATTTTTTCTAAAGCAATTTGCATAACTCCATTCGTAAAATATATTTTCATTGACTTTATTACATTTGCTTTGGAAATATAAACTGTATATAACATTTTGGAAATTTAATAAACATGTTTAAATTGTTTTGTTTCAAAAATTCTGAACTGTCAAAGGAAATCCAAAGAAATATCTAGAAGTTATAATAAAATATCTGTCCTTTGTAAATATTAAAAAGTCATCTGCTGATGGATACAAAAGTTGCAAAGCGGGAAACTATGAATCAGTTTATAAAATTCTTGCCTGAATTTACTTTATTGTGCATTGCATACTAAGTGTAATAGAGGAATGTGTGTTCTCAAATCACACATCACACACACACACACACACACACACATTGAGGCACAATCACACACACACACACATTTAGGCACAATGCAATGGTGTAAACAATTTGGCATTAAAATAGTTGTCCGAGTCGAGCCGGGGCATTTAAAAATATTGTATATGTACTATGCTTCACTTAATTTACATGATAATGGGCCAGATTTATGCATTTGTTACTTACCCGAACGTCCACTTTTTTCGAATGCGCCCCCCTTTTGGTGGGGCTGTGGCCTGCAGCTTGTTGCAACGAAAATAAATCGTATAATTCGAAATAATTTTTGTTGTGCATCTTTTTTTGGGGTTTGTTGAACTTATTTCGCACAGATTCGCTTCGTTTCGTTGCGTTCTTATTTTGAATTTCTAATTTCTGTGCCGCTGCCCCGGCGCGCAGCTCGGCGACCCAGTCCTATAGCAGACCACCTAAAATTAGTTGCAAATAATTTGTTTGTTATTAGTGTGATATGCTTGTTGTGTTTTGGGTTTCACATTTTCTATGTTTCGCTTGGTTCCGCCCCCCTTGGCCGCGTGTCAAATGTGACAGCTTTCAATACGTTGTCGTCTCTATGCTAATTATGCAAATTTTCAGCCCAACTTATCGCCCACGTGGGCTCTAGGCGCCCCTTTGGCATCATTTGCATAACAAATGCGGTTGGAATCTCTCCGCCTGACGCTCCTTTTATGAGCAGCATAGGATTTATGACATTCCGACAGAATGCATATAAAATGCGCTGCACATCAACTTTTGTTATTTTGTTTTTTCAATATATATTCTCGGTAAGTTTTTTATTTTTATTTTTGGAGGTAATGAGTGTGGAGTTCGTCAACATGATTTTGGCAGTCGTTGTCGCTGGCTTTATATTTCCTACATTTTTTTGTTTATTTATTTTTTATTCATTTATTCATGAATGCAACTGCGTGTCATTTATACTCGTGTCTGTGCGTGCAACATATTGCGCCAATCAGAAACACATTTGGTTCGATTTTCATTTTTGATAACAGTTGGTCAACATGTTTACTCAAAAAATCACTAGTAGCTTACTGCAAATTTTATGTGCTTAAATATTTTTTTAAACTTTTTTTATAAGGTTTTTAGTTGATTTGTACTTTATATATATGCGTATTTTTAGTAGATTAAGCTGTCAGAAGGGATAACTTTTTTGGAAAAAAAAAATTTCGTTGACTAATGTATTTGAAAGTTTAAAGAATAATTTAACATGAAATTTGCATTGCAACATGGAAATTTAAGGCGGATATTTTCCGCCTTCACCATATAACACTTGTAAGGAAACTTTCTCTAAATAGAACTTCCATTTAACAAAGTTCAAAGCATTTTCCAAATACTTTATCGGCTGCTGAGGACCGTGTGAAGTACTGCGCCTGCACCAAAATTAGCATCGGCATGAGCATCAGCTCCGGCATTGGCGACAAAGCAATCCAAATCAAATCTTTTAACTTAACTTAAGTTCCAAATGCAATACGAAGACTTATTTTGTCTTCGCCATTTACCAGCTGCCAGTGCCTGACATTTTCTGCCAGTTTAGCTCGTGACTGCATTTTCAGTTTTCCTTTTCCCTTTCCTTAATTTTTTTTTCTATTTCTGCGTTTGTTATTTTATTTTGTAATTTCCTTTTTGTAAGCGAAAGAAATTCCGTGGATATTTTTTTGTCGAATTACAATTTTAGCCTTTTATTTTTAATGCTGTGCATTTTATTTAGATTTTGTGTATAGTTCGTCTATTTATTATCTATTTGTGTTATTTTTAACGAAATGCATTTGCGTTTTCACTAAGTGAAAGTGAATTAAGTCATCAAATCCGTATACACTCTGTGCTCAACAGCTGATATCACGATATCCGCCGCTGGCACAGAAATAGCGATGATTTTCCGTTTCATTGCTGCTGCTCAATGAACCACTCTAAAAATACCCCGAACAAACGTATCCGAAAGGAAAAAAAACAAAAGCAAACATTAGCCAATACTGACTCAATTAGCCTCTACGTAGAACATAATGTATGTATTACGCGGCTGCTTAAATGCTGGAAAAACTTCAACACCAAAATAAAAACTTAAAAAAAACAAGTAAGAGGTTCTAGTCGGGAGCTCCCGACTAGGGGATACCCTGAACCCTCTTCTTTCAACATCAAATGCATATATATTTTCTATTTTAGAAGCTTTATGTCAAGTTTGGTGACTTTAGCTCTTATTATTTACCAAAATTGCCCAAAAAAATGATATCGATATTGATTTTTATCGATTTCTTGGAAACGGAGTAAGTTATCGATTATCGGAAACAAAGTCGATCTGCGCGGGAGCTAGGAGCACCTACATCTAAAATTTCAAGTCTCTAACTCTTATAGGTTCTGAGATCCTTTCGTTCATACATACGGACGGACGGACAGACGGACATGGCTAGATCGACTCGGCTATTGATGCTGATCAAGAATATATATATACTTTATGGGGTCGGAGATGCTTCCTTCTGCCTGTTACATACATTTACCTTTTGTACAAATACAATATTTTTTGGACGCATATGTTATTTTTATATATATTTATATTTAAAAATTGTAAGTACAGCCGGAAATGTTGATGTTCAATAATAAATATAGAAGGCGTTTACTTAGGTCAAATTTTAATGTACAAAGTTGCTTTAATTTAAATTTAAATGAGCTCAGTTTCTTTGGCTCTTATCATATTGCTCTAGATTTTATTTTGTTTTATCAAATTGGTTTTTGTGAAAAAAGAAAATGCTTTTAGAGCGTCACAGCGTTGTGTTTATTTTGATATAAGTCACACACACATACCCTCGCATTCGCACACACATTCCGAGCAGTCCCACACATTTTATGCGCATGTATCTATGTATGTTATAACTCTGGTGAACATTTAAATGGCATGTTTTGCGTTCTTATTTTATTTTCATTTTTTTCAGATATTTGCATTGGTTTGGCTTATGTATAGATGGCATTAGTGTCAACGCACATAGCAGAGACTCACATACACACACATACGCGGGCGCTGTGTAGAGCACCCATAAGAAGCTAATTGAATTTTTATTGGCATTTTTATGATTAATCGTCATGGGAATTTTGCTATTTTTGTTATTTGTTTATTTAACAGCAAAATGTGAATCTGACGCTAAAGTTTCGTATAGCATTCAAATTTCATTTGGCATGTGTCGGAACTTGAATGATGGACGTTTGTTCTACGTATTTTATGCATACATTCATTTCTTTCTATTTGTATACAAAGCCGTTTTAATGACAGCTCTTATATCATTCAATGGCATGCTCAAAGTTGAAAGTCTACAAAAAATATCATTTAACTGAATTGACTTGATAATTCTTAAAGTGTGTGCTTCTAGGCAATTGTTTAGAGAGCTGGCACAAGACACAAGAGTCTTGCAACATAATTGGCTGTTGTTAGTTAAAATTGAAACATAAATTCTCAAATTGGAAAAATGAACAGCACTTTGAAGAAAAACCTTGTCAATATGAAGTGGAAAAACAACACTGACTGATGGGTACATCAAATATCGTGGAAATTAAATTGTGCTTGTTTTAATTGTATAAGAGAATCTATATAAACACAAGGAAAAAATATGAACAAAAAATGGTGTTGTTGGTAACCATTAGCTCATAATAATTATTAAAGCGAGTAATGTTTTAATTTAAACATTATACAAATAAAAAAGGTTTTTAAAAACAAATAAATGAGTAATATTAAAATTCAATTTGTTAATAAATCGTAAACGATTATAAATGCAAAGAATTTAATGTAGCCAAAAATTAATATTATTGTTGACAATTTTTAAAACAATACATTCAATATTTAATTCCATTTAATACACGATAAGGATAGAATTTCGCAAAATATTTATACATATGTTGTGTTATGTTAATTTTATTGCAAGAAATACATATATGTATATGTATGTGTATTATACTAAATGTTGAACAATTTGTCATTTTAATACCACAATCTCCACGTTAATATTTAAATGCAAATCTCAGAGTGTCTCCAAATTGTGTTCAATCTCAAATTCCTTTAACAAACAAAAGTGTAGCATGCAAAAGCGACGGAGCGTTTTTGCTTGGAGCACCCTGATGCAAAAGCGACAAAACGTAAATATTTGCAATGGAAGAAATCACAAAAGAAAAATACCATATAAACGCAGCTGCTTAAAGTTAAAGCGACAACAAATTGTTTACTGCTTTGAGTTTTACCCAGCTCTCTCTCTTTTCTTTTATTTTATTGCAATTTTCTCGCACTTTGCACAAAGAAAACTGAATGAAAGTTTTCTTGCAGCTGCAAGAGCAAAAGTACAGTAAACACTGCACGGATAGAGTTGCACCGGACATGCTAAAAATTTTAAGTAAATAAAGTGAGAAAACCATTCGAGGCAGCTGGAAAATCCATGTAAATGAAATAGAGGAAAATGTGGCGATTTTGGCAGAACATAAAACTCAATTAACAACAAAGAAAACGCTAAGACAAAAGACAAATACAAAAGACCAACGTAATGTGAAAACTTGCGCTCGGCTTAAATTAAAATTAAAATTGAAATTGAAAATTGAAAATAAAAAGACGAAGAACCAGCATCGAGTGGGACCCAGGGGCAAAGCAGGCGCCATGAAGTTTCATTTGGGCGCTTTTTGGCTATTTCTGTTGACAGTTGGTGGCAGTCAGAAGCAATTAAGCGATAATTGTTGCCACGGGCTAGCCACTTGGGGCATGCCAGCTGTAGCCGCAGCAACTGCTGCACCACCAAAGCAAAAATCAATTCATTCACCGCCAAACTTCCGCAATGGCAGCAAGCACAACGGAAATGAGCTGGAAAATGCAACAAGATTCCGTGTGGCCGCAATGCAAACACCAGCTGAGCCAACGCCAACGCCAACGCCAACGGTTGTTGGGGACATAACAACAACAACAACAACAACAACAACAACAACAACAAGAACAACATGGCCACCAGCTCAACCGGATATCACCACATTGACGGCCAAATCAATCGTTCAGTTAACATTCAAGCAAGCCAAGGCACACAATTTGGAGCTCAGCTTTAAGGAGCGCATGGCACAGCTATTTGCCAGCGAAGAGTCTAGTCTAGCAACAACAATAACAACAACAACGACCACTGACATCGATAACAGCAGTGGAAGCGGTACGAGCACTCATCATCCGGAGCGCCGTCATGTTGTGCCTGACAAGCTGCAGTACACGAAAGAGATGCATATCAAACAGGGTCGTCTGATGGGCATCACACGTCGCTTCCTGGTGACCAGCGGCCTGCGCGAGGTGGATCAGTATCTGGGCTTGCCGTATGCGGAGGCGCCCATTGGCAGTAGACGTTTTATGCCGCCGGGTAAGTAAAAACATAGCTATAGTGATGACAGATCAGTCGTTTTGAAGCTAAAATAGCTTTAAAAAAACATTCTATTCCCTGTCAAGTATGGTGAACAACGTAATAATAAGCCAAGTTGTCACTTAGATATTAAGCTATTTACTTCCGAATTCCTTCAATACTGAATTTATACTTCCATCATGAAGGCCCGGGTAGCTTGGTTTGCTGGGTTGCTTATAAAGTTAAAATAGCTGTAAGAATTAAAAAACATACTATATTTATAATAATTAACGTTTACACTTGCGTCGTAAAAACCATCAAAAATCTCAGAACTTTCGTTTCACAAGCTATTTAATATTGGTTTGGTTAGCAATACCGATTCAGTTTTAGTTGCCAACACTGTCGCTGGCCACAAATATGTATGCATGTTGGCACTTAACAGCACTGGCCGCACCTGCAGCAAACGAAAATCAAAACCAAAATTACGCAACACATGTCAGCTACAAATTCTGACCATGTCCAAAAATGCTTCACGGCAAATTTGAATTTAGCCTGCAATTTAAGCAATTATCTTTGGGCCGCACCTGGCTAAAGGTTTTCCCAAAACTTGACACGTACACCGCCTGCCACGCCCAGCCCAAAAGTATGCCACACTTGAACAATTTGGATGTTGTTGCTGCTGGGCTTGGAGACTCTTTTGGGGGAGAAGCAGGAAGTTATTATGGCACGGCAATGTTTGTTGTCTAGAGTATTTCTGTATTTATGTGCCACTCAAATATGTTGGAAATATTTGGCAAGCTGTCATATTTTTGTTTGTTTTTTAATTGGGTTTGCACAGTGTGGAGATATGTTAATTATGCGCACACAAATTGTAAATATTTGCCAATTATGCGCTTGCTGAATACCAAAATGAAAATTGTAAGTGCTGAGAATTTGGCCAAGCTATTACTGCCTATTAAATGGATCAAGAATTGCAAGCCGCAAGCGAAAGGACACAAATGCAAAAGCAGCCAAGAAGCAAAGGTTGCTAGCTAGCTGCAATAAGTTTGCGATAGAACATTGTGCACACAATGTAGCCAAGACAGGACATGGCCAGCGCTAAGGACAATAAATTATGTGGCATGCGCGCTTGGCTTGGCTAGCGCAACATTTGTTGCCAGACAGTCAAAGCCGCAGGCCGTGACAAAAGCCCTTGTCACGAATCCTATTTGTGTCTTTTGTATGTGTGTGAGTGTTTGTCACCGTGCTGCGTTTATTGAGCACTTGAGTGGCGCGCACCCAATCCAAGCGGCAAGTGCAGCAATAACGGAAAACTGCGGACGGGCGCTGTCGCTGAGCGAAACTCTGACGCCATATTTGTTAGCGGAAGTTGTTGTTGCAAACATGGCGGCGCACCAGACAAATACAAAGCCAATCCAAACACAAGATTCGTTTGCGTATGCGTAATGCGAAACGCGACCAAGCACACACACAACCCACTTTCGAGTTTAAGTTTGCGCGGCAAATACCAAAAGTTTGTCGAAAACACGTCAAAAATTGTTTTGCGTATTTGTATTCTAGTATTTGTCTTGCCTCTCCGTCTAGTCATATTATGGGTCGTAGGTTTGTTGCCGTTATTTATGTTTTAGCAGCGCGTACTTTTCCCTGTTACGAAATTTATTAATAACAAAATGCAAATAACGCAAGCACACACACACACAACTTTACTTCTGTTTACTGTGACCATGTGCGCAGAGATTTTGCCCTCTCTTTGTTTTATGGGGCCATAAAGAGTAACATTCGACATGCGAAATGAAATTTATTTTGACATGAATATGTCAAAGTGTAAATGGTGCATATTTCTTCGGGTGGGCGTAGAAGAGATGTACAAGTTTTTCTAGGAGTAAATTGAAGTTTTTTATTAATTGAATGTGAGTACTCCTTTAGGATAAGTTTTCAGTAAAGATGAAAGAATTTTTTAACAAAAATAACAAATAAATATTCTCAGTTTAATATCCAAAATGAATTCTCGTTTTTGTCTAATGATTAATTTAAATTATATTGAACAAAAGATATCAAATCTGAAGCATATTTAAAACATTTCCATTAATAAAACCTTAACTTTTATAGAAGCAAGAATTTTTTCCTTGAGCACTCGGTCAAAATTTCTTCCTTTACTTTATATTTAAAATAAGTATTTATCTTATTGCACAAACAATAAATGCGATATGATACATTCATCGGCCCTACCACAATTTCATTTCACTTTTACTTGTTAATTAAATTCTACTGCTGTACTATTTCGTCTTCACATTATTCTTTATTAATATTAATTCTTTACAAAAAACTTCATTGAAATTCCTTCCTTGCAACAATTGTGCACTTGAAAATATTATCAAAATTTGCATAGTGGAAGTATTTGAATCTGTGGCAAATATTTTCACCGAATAACCGCTCTGCAAGCCAAACTGATGCAATTTGGTCTGTCGATACCGCATGAAGCTTGTCTTGGGGCTTGCTGTGGCAGCATGCTCGATGACTCAATATCGCAACGGAATCGAAACTAAGTTGACCAAATCGTGGCTACAATTGCCCCACATAAGACCCATTCGAATGCGATGCGACGTTAACTGAAATGCCAAAACCCAACCGCAGTCAACTGGGCCACAGTGTCCCGAGTGTCCGTTGCATGTTGCTGCAGTGCTGTTGCACTCACATGCACGTAGTGTCCGGTTCGGAATGTGAGTGTGAGTGTAATAGTGAGCTTGGATGTGATTGTCTACTTGTTTACGGCACCTCGAAGTGACCGTTGACCGTGTTACATAAATACAAAATTGGCTTTGCGCTCCCCAAATGCCACGCAAACCAATCGAATCCTTGTTTTTCCGCGGCAAAAAAAAACAAGCATGGAATCATTGGTTAAAGCTCGCACAGTGGTAAAATGAGATGAAATAAATATCAGGATGATATACGAAATAAAAAAATTGTAAATCAGGTAAATTAATTTAGATTTTATCAAGCTGTTAGGTTGGTGAGTTTGTGAAAGCGAAAATATTGTCATTTTTATAAAAGAATTCGGGTCATTTATTATAAGCCACAAGTTTTAAATTAAATAAAAATAATATATTTATTTTCATTTTATTTTAATAATACTATATCCCCTTGCTATATGCACTTTCATATGATATAACATTAAATTTAACCAGTTTTTATTACTTATCGAACCACTGTGTTTGGATACTGTCAGCTGCCAGCTGCTGGTCGCGTCGAGTACTTTATGAAAGTTTGTTTTAGCTTATCTAATGGTGTTGCCTTTTCACTCCTTTTACCCCGGCCCTACCTCTGTTGTTTTACAGGCGCGCCGCTGCCGTGGCAGGGACTGAAAATAGCGCGTCATTTGCCGCCGGTTTGTCCACAAAAACTACCGGATGTGTCAGGACCCAGCAGCGTGAATATGTCACGTGGTCGTTACAAGCACTTGATGCGGCTAATGCCCTATTTGAAAACCGAGAGTGAGGATTGCTTGTACTTAAATCTATATGTTCCGCACGAGGGTAAGTTAATGATGCACTCAGTTGGTCCTAAAACTGAATCGTATTCACTTCTGACCACCTAGAGCCGCTGGCAAAGCCCAAGCTGCATGCGGTGCTTGTTTATTTGCATGGTGAGTCCTTTGAGTGGAACAGTGGCAATGCTTACGATGGGTCAGTGCTGGCCAGCTATGGCGAGGTGATTGTGGTCACCGTCAACTATCGCCTGGGCGTGCTGGGTAAGTTTAATGGCGTCGGGCCAGGCTTAATGGACAGTCTGCTAATTGCTCATCACGATATGCCGTAGGGTTTATGCGTCCTGGCATTGATGCTCATAATATAGCAAACTATGCGCTGCTCGATCAGATAGCGGCACTGCACTGGATCAAGGAGAACATTGGCTCCTTTGGCGGCGACAATACTCGGGTCACACTCATGGGCCACAGCACGGGCGCCGCCTGCGTCAATTATCTAATGGTCTCACCGGTCGCATCAGGTAAGTGCCGTGCACCGATTCACCTGCTTTACGCTGATAATAATTGCTTTTAATTGATGGCTTGCAGGTCTATTTCATCGCGCCATACTCATGTCCGGCTCGGCCATGTCCGACTGGGCAGCCAGCAATCAATCGCTGCAATTGACCATGCAAATAGCCAACGCCCTCGACTGCCCGCTGGGTGACCGCGAAGTGGATGATGCTCTGCTCGATTGCCTGCGCCAGCGTCGGTGAGTCAATCAATTTACTGAATTATTAAGTGGTGCGAATGGTTGCCTGTCTGTAGCACTGTGTCCATTTTAATCGCACCACAATGCGTGCTAATGCCCCTACAGTTTCTGTCCATTATCCTGCTTGGCCGTGGTATGCTGAATGCCTTAATTTAATTTACGCTGGCATCTTTCAAAAGCAGCAAGGCTAGCCGTGTGTCCTGTTTTGCTTTGATTCAATTGGCGATTGGCTTTTGTGCGCTGCCTAATGAAACGATAAATTTACGAGCATGTCGCGCCGCTTTCTCAATGAGCCGTAGACAGCCAGGCCTGTGCCCCACCCGCTCCCTCCATGCCCATGACAATAGCTGACAATAACAAATCATGCGTGGGTTTAAGCCTTGGCCTCCTTGTTTCGCATCCCGATTAGTTGTAATCCCCTGTATTCATTGTGTCCGGCGGCTCCTAAAACACGTACCTAATAAGCGGCACGTCTATTACGGGTGCGGGCGGTCGCAGTTAATTGCTTTTCAATTAATCACGTTTTTGGATCGCTTCTACAGCTGCTGCCGAGGTTAGGGTCATCCACTTAGCTGGCCATTAAGTGTCAGGCTCAATAAATTATGCGCTTTATTTGCATATTTTTTTGCTTAGCCTGGAGCTTTTTCAACTTTGAGGCTGCGTTTACTTATGGAAATTAGTTTGAAGACAAGAAAATATGCTTATTGATTTTATTGAAGAAGCTACATATATATTATTATTTTTTTTTAGAAATTATTGGTCCAATAAATGTTTTGTTAGTAACATTTATTGCTTATGTCTATATTTCATTATTAAATATATTAAAATTTTCGTTGTATCCTGAAAAAAACTACTTAATTTACTTTGACTACTTCAAATTTAATTTCCCCAATTTAAATATTTTACTTATAATATTTATAGATATTCAGAGCATACAACACATGCATAAATTACATATGATTTTGAATTTAATATTTAATTGGTAGATCTCTTTACATTTATAATTTATTTTATTATATTTGAACAATTGTTCAAATTAAAATTTTATCTTTGTTTTAAACAAAAAATACATTGAATTTGCGTGTTCAATCTCTGTTTTAAATATTTGAATAAACAATTATTATAATGTGGTCCGGTCCATCGCAATTGCATTAATTGCACATTTGCAGAGTCGGTAAAACAAAAACACAGATTCCACATATCCTATATACATACACACACTCACATATTTATAATGTGCGAAAAGGAGGGCAAAAGAAAACGGACAAACTAAAAAACAATTTGCATAGAAAGCAAAATAAAAGCACATGAAGTAAAATAATGTATGTAAAACAAAATCAACAACGGGACAATAATAGTAATTATGTTAATTATGCCAAGCACATGCATACACTCACACGCGCGCACACACGAACACACACGCCCCAACGTCGTCACCAGACAAACATTGCAATGCAACAGTCGCTATTTTGTGTGGTAGTGTTAGTGTGTGTGTTTGTGTTTAAGTGTTCTCTGTGTGTGGGCATGTGTGTGTGTGTTTTCTACTTGCTTTCTTTTGCCTGCTACAAATTGACACAGTAAGTTGGGTGATTCTACCCTTACCCCTAAACTTTCTCCATAATGAGCAGGGCAAAGGTAAAGTATTTTGAGCATATCTATCCGAAGACCAAGTATTCTTTAAATAAGTTTTCATCTAATAAAGATAAAATAAATATCAAAAAATTGAAAAAATTATATTTGTATATACTAAAAGAGATGAATGAAGTATTAGACAGAATGAGTTTTTCAGTAATAAAGAGAAGTAAGATAATCAATAAAAAAAATGTAATGAGCGAAAGAGGACAAATACTTATCTTAGTTTTAACAACAAAAGTTTTTTTATATTATATTTTACTTTTGGCAAAAAATAAAAATTGATAAATATAGTATATATGTATAGTAAAAAGGTCAATAAGGTGTGAGAGAAAAAGAGAAGGAAGAAAACTATACAGAGAGAAAGGGGACAACTTTTTTTTTATTTTACTATTTCTGAGAATAGTTTGTTTGGGAAATAGTTTGTTGTTTTATTAGATAAATATTAATATAATATAATGTTTGGCGGAATATGTTGATGTATATACATTTTGTTTTTAATTTGTTTTTATGTTTAATGACAACTCATGACAAGGACGTGTTCTGCTTGTAAAAGTCAACAGATCCTTAACAGCCGCGGCAGGATATGTGTTAATGAATGAGTAAGGCTTTGGGGTATACTTGCGTCTGGGTGTGACTACATAAAGAGGTAAAGGAGTGAATGGGCGAGCAACTGGGTGCAGTGCATGTGCGAGTGTTAAATGAATGCAATGAATTATGTATGAATTACTGTGCAAATGTGCGCCACACCACCGCCATAGCCACACCCACACACAGACATACAAAGTCATCCACCCACTTAAACTCAAACAGGTAACAACAACGAGATGTGCAAATATTTTGGCCACATTCGTATTTTCAGTGCACACACAATCGCTCAGATAGAAGTAATATATTCTGCCTGTGTGTCTTTGTGTGTGCGTTTTTGCGTGTGCAGCCTTTGTGCTTTGCACGTATACATATTAAATATTTAATTATACTCGACTCTGTGTTGGATTCCTTGTAGTTATTGAAATGTTTTGCTCATTTCCAATGTTTAATTTATTTGCTATCAAAGCTCAGCTTGTGATCTTTATTTGCATACGGCTTGCAGCTTGGCGAATACATGATTTAATTATAGCGCATTACAATGGAAATTACAGTTTGCCTTGAAGTGAGCATTTTGCATTTAATTTTCCTAATAATAATTTATTATTTACTTCCAAATGCGTTTTCATTGCAGTTAACTCTGTAATAATATTTTGCTACAAGTGAATAATTTATGCAATTTACGTCACTCAAAACACATTCCGAAAAATCGCAGCAAAGGCAAATTAAAGTGGCCAATATTAATTAAAAAAACAAGTAAGAGGTTCTAGTCGGGCCCTCCCGACTAGGAGATACCCTGAACCGTCTTCTTCCAACATTAAACGCATATATATATTCTATTTTAGAAGCTATATGTCAAGTTTGGTGACTCTAGCTCTTATTATTTACCAAAATTGCCCAAATTGACGGACATGGCTAGATCGACTCGGCTATTTTAATGGGTTCAGGGTATCAAAAAGATTATTTTATGAAAAAAAAACTCGATTGTTTCCACTTTAATTGTAACTAAAAATATAAACGAATGTGTATGTTTTTTCTTACATTCTATAGTCACTTGAAAAAGCATAAAAGAATTACAGCTGGTGTGTTTTTAATCGCCTTAAAAATGGTTACAATGCACACTAATGCTCAACAAAGAGAAAAATTCGAAGAAATACCAGGCGAAAAATAAAGAAACATGCATATCAAGCAAGCTCGCAAAATAATCCAGCGCGCGCACAAATTTTTGCATTGTGCTCGTTGTGCTTACTTAATTGACGCAATAAAAAACAAAGCATATTAAAAATTCATTAAATAGAAATCATGAGCTGCAAAAACAAAGACACTCCAACTGAAAACAAGGTCGATTCCAGTCTAAATAAATGTTGGGCTTGCGCTTGTGCATTCAACAACAGCAACAATACCGACTAAGAGTAAGAGTTGTGAAAGTAGCTGCATGCAGCACACAAGTACAATCATCCATCTTCGTAGATGCCACATATAGGCACACATACAAGCGCACTTACACATGCATGTGTATAAAGAGTTTGTGCCTCAGTTGGCCAAACAAATTTGTGCATTGTGTGAGAGTTGGCTGAACAAAACTGTGACAACATGTATTTACTTATATAACACAATAGATTTATACATTAAGTCACTTGAGTAGGTACAAGATTTGTGTATCATGAAATAATAACTATGATATATGGATAATGAAACCTCAAATATCTGCTACTCCTGGGATAAGAAAATGATAAGTAAATTAACAAACAATAATATTAAAATCACAAATAGACACATTTAATATAAAATTTTATTTTTTATAAAGATATAAAAATAATTGATTTCTTTTATAATTAAAAGTATGGCTACTAAAATTTCGAATCTTTTAATAACTAAATTTAATATTTCTTCTTTCCTTTGATACCGATTTTTAGCTTTATGTATAAACTAAAAAATCAGCAAATGTTTCAGACAAAATATAAATTTTGATTTTAGTTTCAAATTATATTTCTTAATATAAATATAGTTTTCAATACCAAATATAATATATTTATATATATGCATTTAAATGTGCTACAACCGTGCATCTATTTAAATGCGTAGCATTGTATATCTTAAATCTAAGCCAACTACAGCTAACAAGTTAATCGTAGTTGCAGTGGAACTTGCGACAGTTTTCCGCCAGAGCGTAACTAATAAGAGCCGCCAGTAACAAAGCAAAATAGAGATGAAAAGAGGGAATATCTCTTCTATATGAAAATCATAAATCACATATACGACACGCTCCAAAACTTTGCACTCTGCAGCTGCAGCTCAATTGAAGCTCAAAACGAACGAAAACAACAACAACTACTACATCAACAAAAGCAAGGGGAAGTTAAGTTTAAAGAGTCGTTGCACCGTTATTTCAAGGCAGCCGCAAATTGTCGAGCACACTATGGGAAAAACAAAAACAAAGGCGATAAACTTGGTCATAGCTTCGATAGCCACGCCCCTAGGCAATTGGCGTTGACCACAGCACAACCGGTGCTGGAACATGTCCTGCAATTGACAACGTTAACAGCAGCCGGATAGACTCCTGCGGTTGATAGAGTCCTAAAGTGTTTGCAATGCTCTTCAGCTGGTGGGCTAGTGGTTGGTTTGATGGTGGTCGCGTTGCATTTGCAGTGCAGCTCAAAAGCTTCAAGATAATATTGCTTAAGGCGCTAACGGAATTTACGGCATTAGCCGAGCTTAAAGTCTTCCACACGAGCTGATTAAATCAATGACTCCCATCCTCGAAATTGCTACTTGGTACAGCTCTCTCATCAAGGCACACTCACTTGATTAGATCAACTTAAAACGTACTTATGTTTTTATAAGTGCATATCGTGTTCATTTGGGACTTTCCTTAATCCTCTACGTTCGCAGCATTTGCTAAATTGAGAAACAACATTGGCCAATACAACACCAAATAATATTGTGCAAAGTAAGCATGCGAAACTTCCAAACGAAATTTGACTTACTCCTTATCCAAACTACTAAATTAACAATTTTATTGCATACCCTGTTTCAAATTAATGCATAAAAGAGAGTATATGCAAACATAAAGAGTCATCAGATCAAAATTAAGTATTCACAAACTTTCCTAAATATTTGTGCAGAGGTTATTCTCTAGTCGATCTCTTTTATACTGGCTGACTATGTCTGCAGTTGAAAGATAAAATTTGCTGCATGCAATCGAATATTTGCTTGATTTTTTCTTAATTTGCATCAATTGCAAAGTACTTGAACTGAGTACAGCTCTGGCGTGTGCATTTGTATACCAACTACAACAGAAATTGGACCCAGTCGAACCATTTGCCAACGAAATGTTGCATCAACCGGTCGTTTTGGCCGCAGCTGCCTGCAACAACGCCAACAGTAACTGCAACGGCAACGGCAACGGCAACACAAAATGAAATTCACTTTGAGGCAGCAAGTGCATATATATAAATTGAGTTTTATATATAAATATATATACAAATATATGTTCAATGTATTTGAGATATGATATTCAGCACGTTAAAAGATGGTATATATTTGTGCATCTATTGGGTTGTATCTCTATGTGGCGCACATGTGGAGCTAAGGACCTGATGTTGAGGGCCGCGTTGTGCGTGTCCTGCAGTAAATCACACATAAAATGTATTAGAAATTTGAAATCAAAGTGAAAAGTAGCCGCTGTCAGGCGGCGCATTCAAACACCCAGCTACGCACCCACTTATTCCCACTCTGTGATTCATTCGTCCAGTTATATGACCTTTTTACGCCATTTCTCTGATACTTTCTATTTCTCTTTGCAGCTACCAGGATATCTTGCACATACCAACATCGTTTCAACAATTTTCAACATCATTGGGTCCAATTGTCGATGGACACGTAATACCAAATCAACCATACAAGGTCATGGGGCATTATACGGAGCATTTCAGCCGGTTTGTTAACCAATTGCTGTCACAGTTCCCCTCTGTTCCCCTTTGCCAGTTTTTGCTTTAGCTTTTGATATTTGCTTTATACCAGCCCGACGAAAACCTGCCAAATAACCCAAGGACTATTTATTTATTGTTGCGTTACTTGATTAGATGTTTGGCATTTCGGCATTTGCCATTTGGCATGTGGCATGTGGCATGTTTTGACCCTCAGGTAAAATCAAATCGCTCGTGTAGTCCAAGTATGCATTAAGAGCGAATTTGGCAGCCATTGGCATCGTCTTGGCTAACATCAGTTGAAAAGCACCTCGAGTGCCACTTGTTGGCATTAAATGCAGGCTAACACTCCACTTAATGGCATGTTCTAGACAGCTCTAAACCTTGAAAGGGTCACATAAAAATGTTAAACAAAGTCCTAAGTATATATTGCATATATATATTGTGTACTACATATGGCAGACAAATTACAAACGGTACATAAAAATGGGTAAATTTTTGGCCCAGACAGGTTAATCATTTTTTATAAATTTTTGCACTGTATTAAAAGCATTTTCTTAGAATTTTGTCGGCAAAGTAAACGCAAGCTAAAAGACTTGCAGTTAATAATATGAAAGGACACGGCAGGTTGTTATTGAAGTTTAAATATGTAACTTTCCTTGAGAGTAATCGTTTGAAATCTTAAATTTGTTATAAAAATAGGGAACCAGACATGTTAGGAAAATTTTAAACTATAAATTTCACTCTTATCGATAACAGTAGAAGCCCGACAGCATGCTAATGCTATAACAATATAGAGTTTTAAAAAGTCTAATTTAGCTCTACAAACAATAAAAGCTATAAACAAAAATGGAATCAGCCATAATAACTAGCTGTACTTGTTCGGATCACTAATCAGTTTATTCTTTCATTCAGCTTATTCACAAATGAATGAGTTTATATACACGCAGGCCCTACAGCAATACACAATATATTATTTATTTGAATTTAGCCAACCCTGAGCTTTAAGAATTTCATTTGGTGTGCTCATTGATTTAAGATACTGGGGTAGACTAATATTTTAAGCTCAGCAAGCATTTGCGATAATATCGAGCTGTGTGTTTGTGCTTGTATTTGAGTTTGTTTTGTATCCACATCAATCAATCAGGCAACAAGTAATAACTCAGGCCTTAACAAAGGGTTCATTTCAGCATTTTGTTGCTCCTATCAGCTTCTTTTGTTATCTGAGCATCTTGCGCTCCCTCTCGCTTTCGCACTCTCAGGGCCACGTTACTTCGCCCTTTTACGTAGAACATACATTGTGGAACGTGTCCATTTGCTTTTGGGATGCTCCGCATAATCGAATAAAATGCGTGATTAATTGGATTTTAATTGTTATCCTTTTGCAAGTCGAACGTGTTTTAGCCGTCGACAAGAAGCTGAATACTAAAATAAAAAAATATAATAATAGCTGAAAGGAAGTGCCATTAATTACGGTTTACGGGCAGGCGTGTGAATGGTGAGTGGGGGATGGGGGATGGGTTGCATAAGGGCCGCCCATAACTGCTGCCCAGGTAACTGCAAACTTGTCCAAAGTGAATGGAAGCACGTTTGGCACGTTTTCAGCTCAGAGTCTTGGCGAATTTAGCTCGTTTCGAATTTCAGTTTTAAGCACTTTAATGAAATGTCCATAGATCAAAGTGGTAAATAAAATAAACCGTTAAGCAAGGACAGCAATTATCAGGCCAGCATCACACTGAAAGCTCTACCTACTTTTGCCGCGGATCAAGTTTTGCATTTACTTTTATCGACAGGACGCAAAACTTACCCAGACACTAATAACTTTGCCATGCGCTTTGTTCTACGGCAGGATATCAGGCGCGCAACAGGACACAATATGTAACTGAGTGCTGGCTGACACCACCCACTCGATGGTCTGGCCATTGGCATTCAGCTGGCCAAGTGAGTTTTCATAGCTGCGCGGCGCTCACCATTTATCAGGCAGACAGCGTAACAAGTAACGCCGCAGGACCTCGTTTTATTCTATTGCTTTTAAATGCCGTTTATGGCGATTTCCCTGGGTGGTCTGCAATAAGCGAATGATGCACTTAGCGAAATGTAGGACTACGATAAATTTCATTTTTTTTAATGATGATGAGATTTCTTGTTGCGTAAAATATATTAACATTGCTATTTGTCCTTTAACATACATTTTTTTTATGTGCAAGCCTTGACATTTTATAAGTCGAGAAAGGTTTTTTTTAATATTCCTTAAAATTAAATTTGTACATATAACAGTTTATACAATTGCAATTACTTTAACAAAATACAAATTTTAAACAACATTAAAAAGGATATTCTGCATTTATTTATAGTTTTCCCAAATATGTGTGTATTTATTTAAAATGAAAACATAATATATTGTAAATGTAAAAATGTTTGTTTCGTTTTCCAACCAATTGCTCGCAGTGTTGAAAATAGCTTACTGCATATATAAATGTGGAGTACGCCTAACTACTCACATATTTACTACAAGCCATAATTCTATAGCTGCCGTCGCAAACTAACCTCTCACACTGTCTCTTTCTCTCTCTCTCTCTCTTGCTCTCTCCCTTTCTCTCTCTCTTTCCCTATCTCTCATTTCTCGCTATCTCTCTTGTACTCACGTTTGCTGTCTCTTGCAGATATGATTTATTATTCGGCATCACGGAGTCAGAATCCTATCATACATTGGCCGCATTAGCACTCGAGGAAGGATTACGTGAAAATGAACGCGATAATTTATTACGCTTCTATATGCAGAGTCGCTTTGATGTACGCCCCGATTTGGCATTGGCTGCCACGCTAAAAAAGTAAGTGAAATTTATGCGATATTTTCTGATGGCGTGAAATACAAGCCAACCTCGTAACGGTTGTGGGGGTTGGCTGAAACAAATATATCGGTTGGGCAAAGTAAAGTCTTGGTTGCATTTAACACTTTGCAAAGTGTACACATACATATCCGTATCGTTCATCTCAATTAGAATTGTTTATGAGGCAATTTGTTTGCTTTAAGTGGCAAGGATTAGCGACGGCAGAGCCTACGAAAGGCTTCAGCCATTTCGCGGCACTGACGTCACTAAATGGTGTGCATCAGCTTTGCTTTAAATTAAAATTTATTCGCTGTGTAGTGTAGCTTAAAATTGGAAAAACAGTCAATCGATTGGATTTTTAGTGATATACAGCTAGATTCAAATAGGTAACTGTGGCAATAAATGGTATTAGATATGCTCGTATGCGTAAATTTATGATATTCATTTAAAGAATTTGAATTTGAAAATGTTTTGCAATTTATATTTTTATTCTTTGATCATAGAGCAATTTAAATTATCTTTTAAAATGATACCAAATGCTTTTCCCTTATTTGAAGTTTTTGTCTTTAGAAATATTTGAATTCCATTCGATTCTTTTTTTTTTGTTATGTATATATTATGGACTTACCCATTCGTAATTTTACATAATCCATTTAAAAACAAGTAATGTATTTAATCCATGCGCTAATAAGTATGCTACACAATTGTTGAATGCATTTGGATATACAAAATATCTTGAAAATATATAGTACAAGTATATTTAAGAAACTACTCACAACTACTACACTACTATAATGCAATTATTCCATTTTCCGTAAGATTCTTTTTCTCTCTCAAAATAATATTATATGTTATAATTGGGTCTAAAATATTTGGATTATGTAACGTTTTTATTATAGCTCAGTAAATTATATCTCTATTTTTGCCATATTTAGCATTATAATAATGTGAGCCTAATTAGTGTCAAAGCTGACACAAACAGCAGCCTTTCACTAGAGAAAATAGAAAAAAGCTTCTATGCAGCAATAAATAATAATAAACGACGCTGCAGGAGAGACTCCGCTCGGCTCGGGCCAGACAATTATGCCGAGAGTTAGTTAGTTATTACTGCGACTCTGTTCAAGTCCCTTTTGGCTCCTGTGTGCACACATTCATTATACCGTTCATTTCATTTCATTTCGGAGCAAAACAATGCCAGTGACTATCTCATTTCCAGCAGCCGGCAGGACTTCGAGCTAAGTTTTCTATATGTGTGTGTGTTTGTGGGCCTGCTTGTGCCGTGCAATAAATAAATAGCACAATGCACAAAATTCGACCTCCACGACTCCGCCCCTAAATGTCAACGTTTCAGCTGCACTTTCTTACGCATCTGTGTGTATGTTTGTGTTTTTGTGTTTGCCTTTGTGTGTGAGTGTTTGGTAGAATTGGATTCCTTAGAGATGCGTTTGAGTTTGGTCAGAATGACACTTTATATATATACTTTTAGATATATATATTTATTTGTGCAGAAGAGCGCAATTGTTTCTAAAGACGCGCGGCAGGGACTTCGAGCAGAATGATATTGGTCGAGCTATAAAAATTCTATTAAAGCTACAGCAGCTCGTCGAATTCTAAATGCTCTTCATAGACTTTTTAATAAACTAACCTCTTTATAACTTTGATATTACAAAAAAGGTTTTTCTTTCTCTAAAGGGAAAAGTGTGGTCAATCGATGGTAACATTTTTGTAACAAATATCTTAAGTCTAAAATGAAAGCTTGTAAATGCAAATTTAAGATATAATTTGAAATTACAGTTTTATATGTTCATAGTATAACCACAAAAGCTTTCAAGAATTGATAGAAAAAAGTCCGTACTCAAAGAGTTTCAGACAGATTGTATAAAAAAATGCTCGGAAACTGCAGGCGAGTTGCCAAAAGCGGATAACAGCAATAACACCCACAACCATAGCAACAAAAAACAGCAACAACAGCAGCAACAGCAGAAACAGCAACAACAACAATAACAACAAACAAGAAGAAACAGCGACAAACAAACGATTGAAAGGAAGTTCACACAATCAACAACAGATGCGCTTTTTCACATGCGAATAACTGAACATGGAAACTCTACAGGGAAATTGTTTTGTGTGGCACTGCCTCACGCTGCTTGCGAGGCTGTATAGCAGCACACACACACACATACACACAAACTCATCCCCGCTAGCTTCAGCTGAACAGCTGCTGCAGTGCATCCCAGTGGCAATGCTTTGTTGACCGTCATTGAATTAAATGACAGTCGAAACAGCAACAGCAGCAGCAGCAGCAGTAGCAGCGGGGAATGCATCGACACTTTTTGTTTTGTAGCTCAACATGACGCACAGACAAATGGACAGATGGACTGATATAGAGCATCAACGAGGCAAGTTGCCTGATCCTCTTCAGCTGGAGGCTGTGGCTGTTTTTAACAATATACTGAAATACCCCGCAGCCAGAAAAACTTGCACTTGTCTCCTCTACACGACACGTTTCAAATGCATCAATGCTGCGACGGGGTTGACGTAAGAGTTCAGGAGAGGTCACTCTGATAAAAATACGTTAAAATGCCATTCAATGCATCAATTGACCTATTGTTTGTGGTTGCTGCCATCTGATAGAAAGTGCAGATGAGAGCTCACATGAGATATTTACAGAAAGCCGAGAAAAGGGGGAAAATGTGAGAAAGCCACTAAAACCTTTTAATTTAATTACTGATATATATATTTTGGAAAAATAGAGTTTATATAGTTTATGTTTATGAACATTAAGCAAAATTTGAGTACCGTATATAAATTTGAAGAATCTAACATATATACGTCGATATCGAATAACTTTCGATATCGCTGTGTGTATTGTGCTCCTAAAAATCGTAAAAAAAATGGAAAAAATACGGACAAGCCCACCTAACAGTGGCATAGTAATACATTTAAAAGTGAATTTAACCCCAAAAAAATCAAAAACTGAGTTAAAGTGCCTAAAATAAAAAAAGACCCAAAAATCAAAACTGCAAATGTGCAATTTGCACACAAGCAAAAACTGGGAGCTGTCAAAGCCAGTGCTGCCAACAACAATGCCGAGTTGCCTACAAAAATAGTAGCCAGCTTAAGCAACGTTCAGGCTTCCATGGCAAATAACCCCCGAAGTGAACAGCAACCAAGTACACGGTCTTCTAGCCCCGCTCACTGAAGCAAGTAGATCTTCACCTGATGACATGAACGAGGTTCACGTGGGGGATGGGGACAGTCCCCACCAGCTACAACTCCAATTACAAGGCATTGTGTGCACAACAGCAACCACAACAACTACCATCGTGTCCTCAAGTAGCGGCTGCAGGACCTCTTCCTCCACTGGTACAAGCTGTGCCGTACTGGAACCCTCTGGAGCACACCGCAAAAGCACCAATTAAGCTTTCAAGCTTATCCCGGTAGAAACATATAGCGGCCAGAGCTCTTTCCCGGCAGCTGTGTCTTGCAGCGCTCTTTGCAGCCAAATCCCTGCTTTGCACCCTCCAAAGAGCAAAGATAATATGCCAGCCTTCCAAGAAGCGCTGGTCCAATGGCAAACGGCTAAAAAAAAAAAACGACAAGGAACAACATTAAAGGCCGGAGCCATCAAAAAAGAGAAAGTACCCACAAAAAACGGGAAAATCAGCAAGGCAGGAGAAAGTTCAACTGTTCCCAGTGCCTCCCTGACAAATGGGAACAGTTATGCTCCACTTGCGCCTCAGGAAGATGCCTCTGACATCGAAGCTCCGATAACTCGAGCCGAACCTCATCCTGCAAAAAAGGTCCCTAAGCCCAGGCCTATAACACTTCCTGGAGTTAACGACATCGTCGCAATGGCGCAGACACTTGACCAGGCAGCTGGCTTCCGACACTCATAGAGCCATTATTTGCAAGCTCACTGAGGTCAGGGTCCAGCTCACGCACATCTGTCTCAAGAAGGACAGACCGTATAGCGTAGTAGTCAAAAACTTGGCCGCTTCTACTCCCAGAAGCCAAATCGAAAGTGCTTTTGCAATTCACGGGGACCAGGCTACCTACAAGTGACGCCGATGCTGACCCCTCAAACGATTGCCAAATCGTAACTACTGGTTCGTAGATCTTAAGCAGGCCGCTAACAATAGGGACGCGCTTCGAATTAGCAAGGTTGGTCGTCAAAGGGTCCAAGTTGAGCTTCCGAGAAAAAATAAAAGCATCTGGCAATGTTATCGCTGCTATGAGTTCGATCACACTAAAAACTATTGCCTCAGAAAGCCCATATGTGGACGGTGCGGCCAGCCCCACTGGAAGAACTCGGAGCAATGCCAGGCCAAAACGGTGGCAGACCTGCGATGCTCAAACTGTGCTTATTATAAAGGATGCAAAGCATTCAAGCAGTGCCTGAATGCCAGACAACCGGCCATCAATGTTGCCCCCCCGGTACGACACAACCAACAGCAACCTGCACGGCGCATCAACTCGCAGTTCGTAACCTCCCGAATTGTGCAATAAGGCCTGTCGAATGCTGATCCGTTGCGGCCAGGACGCAACACTTACCAGCAACATGCACAATCATGCCAACCCCCTGTGTGCAATCAGCCCACCGCTACAACAACGCAGCCCCAAAACCTCCAGCATGGATCTCAAGGGCAAGACACGTCCCTCGGAAGTATCCTCTAAGGACTCCAGCAGTCGACCGCAACACTTAATGCAGCAGTCGCAAGTATCCTGGTCAGCATCAAGGAGCTAAAGGATGCCCAAGCTCCATAGCTCGTTCTTCCCACTCAACACAAATAATGGCTGCCCAGATGCGCCTTGGATCTTGGAACGCTCGCAGCATCATACAAAATGCAAACGAGCTCAAACTGTTTTTCAGAAAACATGAAAAAGACATCATGCTTGTCTCAGAAACCCACCTACACGCCGGCCTGTACTTCGCCATGGAGGGATATGTTTGCTACCGTGCGGATCACCCAGCAGGTCGAGCCAGAGGAGGTGCTGCG